TTCTCTCTTCTTGTTACTCGTTATGGATAAGAAATTTATAGGTTTATAGCTGCAGAACAGGAAAGTTACTTTAAAAAGTCTTTATAGTCCAGCCCTCTTTCCAGGGAAGAAGTGATTTACCTTACTTTACTTGCCTGGTTAGTTGCAGGTCTAAGAATGGTGCCCACGTCCCCACAAACATGAGAGAAATGATTGGCATGTGAGTTCCTGCTTATTATCAGCAGCCCACGGCTGGGCTCCTGCTGTCTGTGAAGACCATTAGGAATAATGTGGTACAGGGACAGTGTGAACAGGCAGATAAAAATCCACAAACATTCACTGGGTACTTGATCTGTGACAGGCTCTAAGCTGCATGTCGCCACATGGCTTAGTTTGAGTGATCATCAAGAACTAGCATTCTCGTTCCTATATGAAGGAGGCAGATTGTTTCTAAATAGGATGTTTAGCAAAAGCTCATGCTTCTAAGCACGGAAAAGCACTGTAGAGTGAACAAGTGCTTACCTCCTAGAACATGCAGGCAGGGCTTTGCAGAGTGGAATGCAAGACTGTTCTAAGAGGCTTGGATGGTGGAGACTAATGAGATTTGGCAGAGGTTGTGGTAGAAATTGGGGTGGAAGGCCTGTGCTCACCCCATAAAACAGAGGACTTCCTGCTTTCCCACCTTTGTATCCACTCATGCAGCTCTTTGGAGAGCTGGAACTTGGGTGCCTCGTTCTTGAATGTTTACAGGACTGGATTTTTTTTACATTTTACTCTCTACTCTTTAGGGCCCGCCCTGACCCCATTGGAAATCTGTCTCCCTCTTATTCATTATTATTCCTTTTCTTTCCTTCTCTCCTCTCCTCTTTCTCCTGAGTCAACTCTGGGTTGCTAAGGTCTTGAAGGCTCTCTCACGGCACAGTCCTCAGTAGTGGACTGTGAAACCGCTGCCAGGGAAGATGATATACAAATCTGCTAAATGCACAGTAAAAATAGCTCATAATCTATGGGACTTGGTATTAAGCGAGATGATATTAATGAGGTTTGAATGCTGCTCTGAAATGTGGCAGCTGCACACGCATATTGTCTGCTTTTTCTCCTACCTCTGGCAGCTTGCGAGCAGTGTTGCCATGACACTCCTTGGGCTCTGTTTAGATCAGCTATTTTCTGAAGGAGTCCCCGACCTTCCCCACAATAGAAACTGTGGATGTGGTCATGTCAGAGCCTCTGGGGGATCTGTGTGACTGGTGAGCCCCCAACTGTCATCGGGAAATGGTTGGAAACTGTGGGACATAGACCTCAGACATCTTGGAGTAGGAGGAACTGTTAAATACTCCTTACTTTCGTTGGATGTGTGAGGGTACTGCACCCCATTGAGTGGAAGTGATTTGGCAAGGTCAGAGGCTGGGATAAGAGGAAGATTGGGACAGGAAGTCAGGTCTTCTGATTCCCAGCTGGGTGATGTTCCCATCAGCTCACGCTACTACTTTCCTGTGTGCCCTCTCTAGCCCTGAAGGATGTGGAGGGACATTGTTCTCCCCAGGAATGAACAGAGAAGGTGGAAAAAAAGAGGAGGAGGTCATTGCCCAGGAAGGAATGAGAAAACGGTTTTAGTGTGTCTCTCAGAGTCCATGTGTTGGGGTCTCATAGCAAGCGGTCAGGTGACAAGGCCTCTGGCTCGGAGAATGGCGTAATGTTCATGTCACAGGAGTGGGTTAGTTACGCCAAAAATGGCTTGCTCTAAAAATTAATCTTATCTCCTATTGCTTTCTGGTTTTCTCATGCTCATAGTCTCTTGGCCTTCCACCTGCTGCAATGGGATGAAGCAGCACAAAAGCCCTCAGCAGTTGCAGGTGCCATGCTCTTGGAATTCCCAGCCTTCAGAACTATGAGCCAAACAAACCTCTGTTGTCTGTAAATGACCCAGTTTCAGGTGTTCTGATACAGCTACAAGAACTGAAGTAAGACATTCAGACTGAATTGCCACCAGCAATGGGCATCTGCAGAGACCCTTCTCAGCAGAGCTTTCCTATTAGATTCCACAAATTCAGTAGACGCTGAAAAGGGCAAAGCAATGATGACATGTTCTCTATTGCTGTGAACTGTTTGCTGATACCACATAAGACCTCATCTAAACTCTCCTGAGAGCCACTGTATTATTCCAAAAATTCACCTGTGAAATACTGTCTCCTCCATAAGATTACAGGGTTCTTAGGGACAGGAACTGTGCCTTAAATGAAACTTCCTTCCTTTCTTCTGTCCTTCCTCTTTGCCTTGCTGCCTTTCAGGAATGACACCCGACAGAGACCTAAACACATACATAGAGCATCTGGTAATGTCTTGTGTTTTTTTTTTTTGAACTTAGTTGCATTCAGATAGCCTCTTAAAATTTTTTATTAATCACTGGTGAAAATTGCCAAATTAAGATTTTGGGGGAGCGGTATTCTTACCAATTTAGATTCTGTGCACACTTCTTGTATGCTCTTACTGAATTTTCATCAAACACAATATGCTTTTATTATCCTCACTTTGCAGTAAAAAGATCAAAGTGAAGTGACCAGCTCAAATTCACCTCAGGTATTAAGTGCTTGAGAACTGATTCAGATCGAGATCTCCTATCTCCAAATATTGCAGTGTTACATCTACTTTTCCCCAGTGCTTACAGGAAAGGACTTGTTCCTTCAACGGTGGTTTGGGCTTCAACGAAGGAGTCACCAGCCCTACTCCCTTAAGTGTTGGAGAACACAATTACAAGGCCTCAGATTCAAACAGTAATTTTTTAATACATTGGGCAGTACTTTCAGTGCCTTATTCTTTTTCTGAAATCCAAGGGAAAATATTGCATTTCTGTCTTGTTTAATTTGTTCAAATTGAAATAAGCTTTCAAATACTTTTTAAAACTCCTTTAATTTTTAACAAATGGGGGCACAAACAGAATACAAGGAAAGAAGATTCTCTGGCTTCTGACTAATTTAGTGAAGAACAAAACTAGATTATTTTATTACAAAAGAAGGATGCAGGGATTTTTGAAGGCCACTTCTAAAACACAGATTTTGGTTGGTTTTTTGATGTTTTGTAGAGTTTTCTTGATTTTTGCCGTTTTTATTAGATGATATCCATTATCCTTTCCTAAATTTTAATATGACTTGGATGATTTGGATTATAATATTTGCACCCTTTCTGAAAATCCACAAAGGTAGGGCAGTTGTTTTTTTTTTTTTAAATATATGTGCTCAGAAAGAACATTGTTGCCTAATTTAAATTTTGGTGCAGAGACAAAGCTGATCTGTAGTAAGTATAATATCTTGTTATATATAGATCTCATGTTTTCTTTCTGTGTCTTTCCAGGTGTTTAAGGAGGAGAATGAGTTGAATAATAATGGTATAATGTCCAGAGAGAAAGTTGAATACAAAAGACAAATGTGTGGGCTATTTCTGTATTCTGTACCTGTACGTGGGTGTGCCTGTGTGTGTGTGTGTGTGTGTGTGTGTGTGTATGTATGTGTGTCTTTTTATAAAGTTTCCACAATTTAGAAGAACATAATAACTGGAACTATCAAGGAGAAAATTTAAATTGAAACTTGGATATTTCAGGGAGGGATGAATATTTTATATGTTGTTTGAAGGCAGGTGAAGTGAAATTTAGAAAATAGTATCAATTGCTATTAGGTGGACGTCAGACACTATCTTTGTACAATACTTTCTTTTAGAAGAAAGTTTATCTTGGGAATTGGAGCATTCTTGCATACTTTCCCCTTGTCTGCAGCCCCCATTTCTACCCAGAGTTTGCTTAGTTCAGTTGAACTACTTTGATGTAGTTCAATGTAGAACAGTGATCTTGAGAAAAAACTGAGGCTTTAACAAAAAAGGTGGAGAGAAAATCAGTTTGTAATGGTCTTGCTTCAAACATCATTGCTTTGCTCTAGAATTTCTTATGTGTGTGCTTGCTTTGTCCCGGAGACAAAAGAGATAGTTTACATATGTTTGTGGCAGTGATATTGGGGTTAGTTGTAACAGTATTTATAAGATCCTTCCCTGAGAGCTCAGGCTTATTCAGAATTTCTTTAGAAGTTAACTTGTCACTTTTGAAATCTCTCTACTTCATAGACTTTGCAGAATGGAGAAAGTCCATCTGCCTTCTTGAAAAAAGAAAGAAGGAAAGAAAGAAAAAGGATACCTCAGGAGTGAAATACTGTTTTCATACTGCCCCAAACTGTCAATGTAGGAAAAGGTTTTCACATATTATCAAATGTTACAGAGCTAGAAAAAATGTACACGTGTAATATATAGAGTGCATATATATGTACATATATATATGTATGATCTGTTCCTTGTCACAATATTTAATCCAAAGTACTATTTACAGTAATGAATCAAAATGTCAGTTTTAAAAATATGAAGTGTCTAAGTGTTCCCACGTTGCAGAAAACTTTGATGTGACAGTTTGTTAATCATATGACTATTATATCAAATGTGTCTCACAGTGTGTTTTCCTCAGCCCTCTCTCTGGTCGGCTCCTCACACTTTTTTTAGTGAATTCCTTGTTCAAGTTACTAACCCGCGGAGCACATTTGGGTTACATGTTTCCCACATCTCACACAAATGCTGCTATGTTTTTCTGTACATAAGACTGAATGGATTTCACATCATTTTAGAGTGGTTTGATTTTGTGCCTGACATATTTATGTATGGTGGCTAAAAAAATTACTCTTCTGTAAGTTTGGTGTTTTCTCTGCAGAGCCATCCACATGAAATGTAAGCTTACAGAATGGATGTTTTGTGTTTCTCTGAGCTGAGTTTCCCAAGGTGTCATTTAGCTGCCTGCATTTGTTAGTGCTCACTCTTTGACCTTGGACATGGTTTTCAATTTTGCTTGGCACGTCAATTATTTCAATTTCTTAATCCTTCTAAAAGGACTGAAGTTTAGAACACAAATACTATATATTTGGGAAAAGGCAACATATAAAATTATCTTATATAAAAATTTATGGCTGAGCTATTTATTTGCTCTGTTTCCCTAGACTGCTCTTAACATCCATGCCTCCGTTTCTTCCAAAGAATTGCTAAAGGTTAGTGAATTTTAAAATTATTTTTAAATGTATGCACTAAGGAGTCTTAGGATTTGAAGAAGGCACAAAACCTTCAATGATGGGGTCCGAGGTGGGCAGTGAAGATTCTTTAAGCCCAGCAGCTTTGCTATTGATCTGTTAAAAGTTAAGAGTTATTTTTAAAATGCTATTTCACTTAAATAAAAGATTCCATTGATTAACCTGCCTGCTGTTGGTTTCTGTCTTCCTAGCTGATCTAGAGTGAGCATTCTCTAACTCTGTGGCTTATTTCCTACAAGTGTTTGGTGGCCAACAATGCTAAACAATTTTAGTTCTTCTGGCTCCCCCGGAAGTTCTTTCAGTGGTTAGGATTCTCCATGTTGAGATTCCAGCTGAGGGTAACTGAGACCCCATTTGTATCTGATTTTAATCATCACATCATTTTAGTTTTAATACATTTCATCTTAACAGATTTCCAAGTTATTAAGGATCATTATTTAGAACAAGTACAGAAACAAGAGGCATGAAAGCTTCCAGCCAAGGATATGAATTTTATTTCTTTTAAGCAAATGAGATTCATCCAGTTTGGCGAGAAGGATAGACATCTACAATTTGAAATCTGAAAGCATGGATTGATTTCTACTTCCTATTTGGCTGTCCTTCCCCATAAACACACAACCACTTAGATCTCTTTTTCCTAATATATCCCTGTGTGTATCCCCAGGTGTGGTAGAGTAGCAGAATAAAAAGTTGTTAACTATAAATCAAGGCAAAGACTGTAAGAACGACAAGTGATGTAGGTATGTGATCGAAAAACACTATCAAAAAGTCTGTAAGTATCAATATAACAAAATCAAGGTGCAGGAAATATTTTTTCTTGACTTTTTCTTAGCATATACTTGTTATTCATAGTAAATACATTCATCTTGGGGAATTTATAGATATATGATATATATATGGAAATTTATATATATATATTTATATGTGATTCTTTTTGCTTCTTCTTTTCATTCCTGTCTCTCCATCTCTAGATACTTCCCTATCTTGTCAAAGAATCAACTCTTTGAATCATCAATCCTTACATCGTTTTTACTCTTAACTTCATTAATTGCTCCTCTGACCTTTGCAATTTCCTTTCAGTAGTTTCAGATAGAAAATATTTTTCTTCAATTAAAAAATGTATCTTAAATTTGGGGAAGAGGCTAAATGGCTATTTTGCTAGATGTGAAAGCATCATGTCCAAAAGTCCTCAGTTTGGTTAACCCTCTCACTAGCTGAAATCCACCAAGTCTGTTAAGTCCATTGTCATGACTGACATGGAGTAGAATGTTCCTCTAGTAATTAATTTCTTAAAATTGTCTGCTCCCAAATACAGCAGCTGAATATCTTGTCAGAAATATTCTTCCCTTAAGTCAGATGTCAACACTGGGGCAGTGCCTGGGTTTATAGAAGGGGCTGAGTCTAAATCCATGTACAGGATCATCATACAAAACCCAGGAGTGAGCGCTTGTTCTTTCTCTGAAGAAATGGTGAGATATGGCACAATATTCTAAGTGAACATTGGACTCTAAAAATATAATTTGTAAGTGGAATAGAAAATATTTGTTTTGTGTACAGTTTTGTCAAAAGTCAAATTAGTAGAATGGAGTATTTGGCTGGAGAGGTGACATCTAAAAATGACCTCAAAAACAATATGTTTACTATCTTGGCTTTTAAAATTTTAATTTTTAAAAACTTTTTCACTGATTTTTCTCCCACCATTTCTGACCTCACTTGCTAGAGTGTAAGGACCTTGAATTTGGGACCTTATGTTTCTTCTTTTTGTCTGTTTCCCAGGTACCTGGAAACACACTTGGGTAACCTGTTAGCTTAATAACTATTTACTGATTTGATGAACAATTTTAGAAAGATAGCAGATTGAGGGGGAAAACATGACATAAATCTGGAAATTTTTGCTATGGCCACTTCTGAACTTGCTCAGACTTTTACTAAATGCTTTTTAAGTTAGGCACTCTTTTGACCATTTGCATCATGAAGTCACTTAATTCTCACAGCCAGCCTTTGAGGAAATTACTATTATTTCATTTCACAGATGAAAAATTGAGACGCAGAGATGTTACATAGTTTTCTCAAGGTCACACAGTTCCTAATAGGTCACTCTGGGATTAGAACTCAGGTGATTTAGCTCTGGCAACTACTCTCTTAACTACTAAGCTCTGGTGTGTCTGCGTACTGATTGTAATTCTGCCTGCCTCTTCTGCCTTCTGGCATGTTGTGAGGCTGGAGCAAGATGATAGGTGTGAAAGTATTAGGGGAAGTGGGAACCAGCTAAGGAAGGTGAGTCAAAACACAAATAGCTAATTTAATAACTCTAATTTAAATGAGAAGGTGGAAACTTACACAGAGAGTTCAGAGAACAGAAGAGAGCAATTGCTTCTAACTGGAATGGAGGGCAGGGCCTGAGGAAGGAAAGCTTCCTGGGGAAAGTCACAGCTGGGCTGACTGTGACACCAGGTTTTGATAAAGGGAAACACTTTCTAAGAAAATGGAATGCGCAGGGGCAGAGGGATGAACCTGGAGCTGCTTAGATGGGCAAACCCTTTCCAAAACTGTGTGGAATGAGGAATGCAGAGTAGCAGGTACCTGTGGTGGAAAGAGGAAGGCATGAGACCGATCTTGAATAGGAAGACGAAGGCATAAGGCAAGCCTGTTCAAATCTTCCTGGGGTCAACTCTGAGGAAAGGTGATTCCTGCCTTATTCATTGTGCTTTAATTCATCAGATTTTAACATATTGTCCACAAATATTAGTTCAAGGAGGTGCCAGTGTAGAAAGGGCAGCTGCATAACCCTAGGCCCTCAGGGATGCTCAGCATGTACATCTCAGGCCCAGGCTAGGAAGTCCTGAGGGGCAGCAGCCAGCTTGCTGACTGTGACTCTGACCTGTGTCTTTGAGCAACCCCTTAATGTCCCCTAGTAAACCTTTCCTAGAGACTTCTTTCGGCCAGCCAGCTGGACTGACTTGTGTTCACTTTCCAGCACGTTGGAAGAGCAGAGGTCCTCTCAGAGCAGAGCTACATTCATGCGCAGGACAGCCAAGAGTTCCATGCTGAAAGAGTCCAACAGAGCACATTTGCCTATAAAAATAGTTGTGTGTCATTTAGAAAGAAAGCTGTGCTAAGGTCGCACACTTGAGGACCTGCAGCCCTTCTAACAAAGTAAAAGTGAGAAGCAGGAAGTGAAGGAGCCTCAGGTTTTGAAATGCACTGTGCCTAAAAATGATGGTTTCTAACCACAAGAAGTCCCCTCTCTGGCTGCCCTGAGAAGAAGAGAACGTGGGGAGAGGCAGCAGCAGAGCAGGGTCAGCGTCTTTTCTGCTCTTTCACTCCCCTATATTCGCCCAATGGGGAAACAAAGTGCCAACTCCAAGCAGAGCAGAATGCTGAGAGCCATCTTCTCAGATTCCTCTAGTCAGTCCTTCATCCCTACAATCCAGCTGGGCCAGGATTATTACCCTCTTATCTATGAAGATGATTTATACGAGAGTGCCTCACTCATGTTTTATGTGGAGAATGTTTACAATGTTCCCTTCCTTTTCGTCTTATGCTCCTCCACGAAGCAAATAAGGTTCTCCTCTGAAACGCTTGTGACTTCAGTCCTGAATCACATGATGATACTCTCGTTCCTTCTGCCTTCTGATCCAGCCTGGATCTTATCTGTTGGCTCTGGACTGCACATTCTTATCCTGCACTGCCAGGAGCAGCCTTCTCCACAGTGTGGCATCGCTGGAACTTCTTAGACCCAGTCCTTCCCAGCAGACTCTCCAGCAGCTCCTGGTTCTCCTCTGTCTTTGCTGACAAACTTCGAGGTAGACGCTGGACCTCCTTATTTCTGTCATTTTCCTCCCTCTGCCTGTTAACTTTTTACTCTTTCCCTAGGTCATACACTAATTTTCAATGCCCTCTTCTCAAATCAGCGTGTACTGGAATCACCTGGGGAATCCCAGCCTCAGAAGTGAAGGTTCAGTAGGCCTGAGGTAGTGTGGGAAAATTTGCATTTCTGTTACGCTCTAAGATGGTGCTGAAACTGTCTGTCTGGGAGTTCGGTCTCATCAGTACTGTTTTAAAGTACACTTCAAGATTTTCTGTTTTCCAGGAAATTTAACTAGCAATCTTATTCCAATGGGCCTTCCATCCTTCTTTCCTACCTTCTTTTTCTTCTTTTCTCTCTTCCTCTCTCCCTCTTTCCTTTCCTTATTTCCCCTTTCCTTATCCTTTCCCTCTTTCTCTATCTCCCTCTCTCTTTGCCATCCAGCAGGCATCTCCTCCTTTCCCCTCCATCCCTTCTGCTCCCCTCGCTTCTCTTCTCTGTTCTCCCCTCCCCTCCCCTCCCCTCCCTTCCCCTTCCCTTCCCCTTCCCTCCCAGGTCTCACTCTAGAAAGGTAGTTATTTATAAATGGTAAAATTCTGGATAGAGAATATGAAATTCTGAATCACGTCCTGCCATCGCCTCTTGCTAGCTGTGCGTTCTTAGGCCAACCATGTCTTAGGGAGTTTCCTGATCACTGAAATAATTCTTCCATTTTTCTGCTGCAGAAAAGATGCATGGAAAAGATCATGGAAAAGATCAAATGAGATAGATTCATCAACTGCTATAAAAATGCAATGACATTCATAGTAAATTATGTTTGGTGTTTCGTTTGTTTTTGTGCAATAGACTCATTGACTTTTTATCATTAATGTCAAGGATTTAATGATAGTTTTCATTGAAGTGTGGAGTGGTGTGTAGGGATGCTGAGATTTCAACAAAGCCCTTTCAGGTTCCTGCAGATGATTCTCACACCTATATTTAGGAGCATAGGTCAGAAGAACAAAGTTGCATTTATATTGTAATTTTCTCTAGTAGACCACCACAGTGATTTCTTGAGTATTATGTTAATATTTTGAACTTATGTGAACTTTCAAAGAGCAATGAAATAGGTAGTGGTTGCCATTTACAGGGCAATGTAGGGCAATTATAATGG